CATCTAATCACCTTTCATGTTGAAGCGGTATCTTGAAAAACTTCGGATTGCATGCTCTCCGAAATAAGCCAGTGCCAACTTTAGGGGCACCCATGTTCTAAGAGTGTCCAGTAAAAATGGCTTAAAGGAGTAAGACAAATTCCAAAATTGCAATGATACATTTTGGAAAGATAAACTAAGACATGTTTGTTGTTGAATGCATTATGGTTGCTAGTGTGATTAAACTTAATATTTACCCCAATAAGAAACAATTTGTGTAGTTGGGGCAATGTCCTTTTTTGGCAAGTAATCAAAAGATACAGTGTTATATACTACGATATCCATATAAAGAATTAGTAGTTTGCCTTTGAAATTATTTTGGGACATAGCAAAGGCAGAGTAGCTAAAAATGGAACATATGTGCTCACTGCTCAAGGATTTGGTTTTCATATCTTTTGAACAGTGGAGTATCTTCTTTCTATTAAATTCGCGGTAGAAGTGCATGTAAGTTTTTTGTTTTATTTTGTACAACAATGCAGAGGTGAGTCACTCCAAAGCAGAAGAGTTGCATCAACAGCTTTTCGTTCCTGAAGATTCTGTGGACTCTGGTCCATCCCTTGGTCCCGGGAAGATTGAGGATGATTTGAGGGCTTATGTGTCAGATGTACCTGTAAGTTTACTGTCTATATGCTTTATAATTGGAAATTACCAACTTAAATTACTTTTTCTTTTTTGAAATTGATTTGTACTTCTGGATAAGAATTAAGATCCAAAGTCAATTAATTGTGGCCTTTGATGTTCTCTCGGCTTATACCATTAAAGTAAATGTAGGCAAGCTACTGGGTTAATCGAACCCCTTCGAACTAACAAGATATGACTTCACAGGAAAGCATAAAATTCGGCTTCTAAGAACCGTTATCTTTTGCGTGCCACAGCTTGGCTGCTGAAAACATACAATATATCTAATAATAAAAAGCTAAAAATGTATCTTAGCATATGCCCCACATAATCTGTTGCAGAGTGGAGTAGTTAGCAGCAATCTAGGAGAGCAGTCACAACTGCAAAGGGATTCCGATTTCTCTCCTGGTCAACCATTACAATTGAGTCAACCACCAGGAAACCTTGGAGTCATTGGCCGAAGAACGGTTTCAGATCTTGGTACAATCGGTGATAACTTGAGTTCATCGCCTTCTAGTTCTGTAGGAATGTATGACCAGCTATACAACTTGCAAATGCTCGAGGCTGCTTTTCACAAACTTCCTCAACCGAAAGATTCTGAGCGCGTTAAGAGCTATACTCCAGTATGCCCCATGATTCTTAGCAAATTGTGCATTGTGACATTGAAGTTACACTAATATTTCCTCCAAATTATTTACAGAAACATCCAGCGTTGACCCCTCCAAGCTACCCCCAAGTTCAGGCACCTATTGTCAATAACCCTGCCTTCTGGGAACGCCTTGGAGCTGATAGCTTTGGCACTGACACCTTATTTTTTGCCTTTTACTACCAACAGGTCTGCTTTTGGGTTCTGAATCCTATGCCCCCTCCTTTATTTAGCTAATTGACAGTTATGTTTTAGTGGTCAGAAATGTGAGATGATATTATTTTCAACCATAATACTGCTGCAGAATACTTATCAACAGTACCTTGCTGCTAAGGAGCTAAAGAGACAAGCTTGGAGATACCACAGAAAGTACAACACCTGGTTTCAGAGGCATGAAGAACCCAAAATAGCTACCGATGATTATGAACAGGGGACATATGTTTACTTTGATTTCCATCTAGGCAACGATGAACAGCACGGATGGTATGATTTCTTACTCCCCTTAGCTGGTTATGCGTTGATGGCCAATGGGTAGTCACTTCTGGCTAATTTGCATTATCAATAGAATATATAGTTTCACCCTTGGCTGAAATAGATATTACCAATTTATATTCACACATTTCAGCCAATTAAACCCTTATTGAACGGGCCCTACAATTGTTTTCCTTCTAAAATTGACCCTGCCTGATATAGCCAATGGGTTGCTTGGTTCCAAACTTTCTTAGAACATGTTCATAGCGCCATACTAACGGAAGGCATTGTTACTCTGCAGGTGCCAAAGGATAAAGACAGAGTTTGCGTTCGAGTACAATTACCTTGAAGATGATCTAATGGTTTAGACTGTTTTTATGGAGCTTATGATGATTTCATTCCTTGTTGGCTTCTGCGATGCAGAAACTCCTTAATCCTACCCAGGTCATTTTGGAAGGGTCCCAAATGCTATCATTAGGTCAATTAATTAATTAAAAGAAGAGTTAAAATGTTTAGGTTTTAAAATGTTTTTGATGTATGATATCAATTCACTATTTCATGTGTGGATTTATTGTACTATTGCTTCTTTTTATATGTGTACTATTTACAAATATTTAAATTAGTCAATGTATTCAAAATTGAAGCAATTTAAAGCAGTTTAGTCCGTGTGCCATTTTTATTCAATTAAGTCCTTTTTCATCACTTTATTCTTATCTAGTGCCCCTTACTTTTAACAATAATGTCAAATTTTTTGATAGATGACAAGAAAGACTTATGGCTTGAAAGACTTATTACTCCTAGTTTAGAAATTTTACTCTATAAGAGTAAAAAAGTTTGAAAATATCAAAATAAGAATCTTATGTCTTTTAACATTAAAATAGGAGTATAATAGCAGTGTGGTATAAGAATACACATTGATAGTCTGATGGAATACTGAGGACAATGTAATATGTCACTGTGATCTATGAAAAGATGAAATTATTTAAGATAATTTTTCCTTTTTAAAATAGTTCAAATGTATGCATAAATAATTCAAAAATTATAAACGATCTACTAGAATTTTAGAATTTTTTTTATTAAAATCTATGTATAAACTTAAAATAACCCATTATATTTACAAAATTCATAAATTTTAGATAATCTATCAAAATAAATAGAGATTGAATGCACATCTAAGTTGGTGCAAATTTCATCTAATTTGTTGGAAAAATGCTAGGAGTACACTAAAGGTGTACTCTATTTGTCCCTCATCCCCTCTTTGTCCACATAAATGGTCAAGAGACTCAAAAATAAATAAAATAATAAAAATAAAATAAAAATAAGTGGTGGAGAAAGGGATGTAGACAAATGAGGTACACATTTAGTGTACTCCTAGGCCCTAACATTGCTCAATTTGTTAATCTATTCAAATAATTTTTATGAGGGATGCTAGCTGACCAAAAGTGTATCCAAATATACACCACCCATATTCCTACCAATTATTTTTATTTATTTATTTTTTGTTTAATTTATTTACAAAAATATGTGGCATTGGAGGGATAGTGTAGGTACACTTTTAGTGTACCCGCAAGTGGGCGTGAAATCCGTTCTCGTTGGACCGTTCCGAAAAATCCCGGATCCGTTTTGTATTTGTACCGATATATTGGGACACATTTTTTTGGTCCCGAAGCCGTTCCGTCCCAATATCAAATTGGACATGAGCAGGACAACTTAAATTTATATCGATCCGTCCCGTTTGTCTCGTTTCATCTACTCTACTAATATATAATAGTACTAATTCTAGTCCAAAATCTAAATACACTCATTCTTTAATTAACTAGTTATTTAATTAAATTAATTTCATGAGCTTGAAAATTATTTGGACCCGTAGACTCATTGTTTTTTTGGATGGCTAGATGTTTCTTTTTTTTTAAATGAAATTTCACCCTCTTCCCCTTCTTATATTTGCGATTAGGACAAAGTAGGACGACCCGAATCCGTCCTGTTTTATTCCAATCCCGAATTTTATGGGACAAACCGGGATAAGATTGTAATCCGAACCGTTCCGGACCGTTTATATATAACGGGACAAGATGTGGGACAACCTAAAACCGGACCGTCCCAATCCGTGCCCACCCCTACGCATTCTTCAATTTTTATTTAGTGAACTCAAAACAAAACAAAAAAACTCACATCGTAGATCAAGATATTATAACCATCATATTAAAATGAACCTAAGATCCACGCTCAAAAAGCAATACGGATTATGCTATGTGTACCCAAAGATTTGTACCCCAATTTGTACTCCGCAGTTTTGCACCAACACTTTGTGTTGGTGTAAAACTAATTTTTGTTAAATGCACCAACATTTGTGTCCGTGTAAATTTTTATTAACGCACCAACACTTGTGTCGGTGTAAACCATCGAAATGTTTGTGCAAACCTGTGGTGTACAAATGGGGTATATTTTGTGGTGTAAGTGTAGCATGGTCCAAAGCAATACTCCTTTGCTAAACAGTCTTTTTAAAGAAACCTAAAAAAAAGAATAAATTTCATAATCAATTCTTTATAAAAGAAATTTTTTATTCCCTTCTTTTAAATCCTTCCAGTATTGACTTTTGAGAAAAATAAGAAAAATTTAATTTTAATTGACTTTCCAATTTTGCCTTTGATGTGATTAGTAAAAGTAAGCTGTGATAATTTGGTTATTAGTGAATAAATATGATGTGATAGGTGGGGTATGAAAAAATAAAGGTAAAAGTAAATTTTTAATAGATAATGGAAGTATTTTGTAGAAAACAAAAAAAACGAAAGAGTAAAAATTTTGTGGAACGGAGGGAATATGTTTATTCTTCTATTAGTCACTCAATTCTATTTTAAATTGCCTATTTGTCTTTTTTCTCCGTCCCAAAATAAATTCGCTGTTAGTTATTTTCGTAAATTTTAAAAAATAAAATACCTAAATTACCCTTAAAATAAGTCACTCTTTTTTTACCTTATTTTCTTATTCATCATCACTGCTCTTAAAAAATAATGTCAATTTCAAAAAATCAAATCTATTTTTTATTTTTCTTAAATATGCCCTAAAATCAAAACAAACAATTTAAATTGAACGGAGGGAGTATCAAATATTTTTACGCAATCCTATTATGTGTATAGTTCCATAAATAATCTTTTTTATTTTCTCCCATGTTACTATTAACTTAAATAAACTTTATACTCCGTAACCGATTGCATATTCTGATATTAGAACAAAAAATAATGACTATAATAAGCTACAATTCGGAGAAGAGGCCACGACTATAAATTATGGTCATATTAAAAAGCAATTGTTTCACAAACGACACATCAAAAATGGTGCTTGGAAATAATATTTAATTATAAAAGACTAATACAAAAACACAACTTCAATGTACTCCGGGGTAGTATTTGAATCACGCCGCAATGAAACCAATACAAACACACAATACATCTTCAATAATCTTCAAACTTCCTTCTCCGTGCGACTTAATTACTGGCACCAATCTTCTTCATCATCTGCAGTAATTACAAGAGAGCATTTGGAAATTAATTCTGAGAAAAAAAATATAATCAGTCCATCTAGGATTGCAAATTGAACCCATCTAAAGCGCTTTTATTCGAATTCGAATTAATCAAAAAAGAAACACAAACATGGCGTGAAGAAATAAAGATGAAAAAAGCTCTGCAAAAACTCAACCAAGGGGTTTCATCCAAATTAATCAAGAAACAAACTCAAAAAGCAAAAAAGAAATAAAATATGAAACATATTCAGCAAAAAATTATGTAAAATAACCCTTGGGATCGGAAATCGAACTCATCTAAAATCGATTCCAACTAAAATCAATCAAGAAAAAGATTAAAAGATGAAATAGAAGAAAATTTCAGTAGTTTATGTGGTTGAATTTTGATAGCCCGCTCAGCCATCAACGCCGGTAGGCTCTGACAGCGGGCAGTCTTCATCGCAGTAGAGCGGAGGAAAGGGGCTCGGGGATAATAAATATCAGCCGGAGAACCGCCAACTTCTCCGGCGGCGACCGGAGAGGGCAGCTCTGACCGCGCCGATTCCCATCCCAAAACCGCCGATCGCAGCCGCCCCCCAGCTCAGATAAGATCAAGTAGTTATGGATTCTTCGCCCTACGTTTTCTTTTTATAGACGCGGTTGCCAGTGGAATTGTCTAAACCACCCCTGACGTGTACTGAGCTACCCGGGGTGTTTACGTCAAATGGTTCACCCCCATTCTCCCCTGCCTCCAACGCAAGATAAGCCCACTCAAACCCTATTTGTCATCTCCCTCGCTTTCCTTCTCATCTGACCGGTAATCCCATCTCTCTCTCTCTCTCTCATCAAGGTCAGATCTCCCAGTTCAAATTTTTTCGAATCGATTGTGCTAACAGGGATTGGGATCGGATGGGAATCTAAGATTGGATCGGTGTTACTTGGGCATTAGTCGTCTAAACTTTGAAGTTTGTTTTTTTCTCATAAAAAACGGATCTTCTTGTTAGTTTTTTTCTTCTCGAAGATTAACAGGTTTCTCCTTATTTCGATTGGTTTTGTTAATTTGCTATTTGCATTCCAGGCCTCTGAGTATGGCTGCTGAGCCTTCAAAGGTCATCCATGTCCGGAACGTGGGCCATGAGATTTCTGAGGTAAAGTGTGGCTCTCTGTTTTACGTGATCAGAAATCTGGGCTTTATTGAGTATGTGTTATTTTCTTTTGCAGAATGATTTACTTCAGCTCTTTCAGCCATTTGGGGTAATAACTAAACTTGTGATGCTAAGAGCCAAAAATCAGGTGCTTTTTTCAAAAATCCATGTTTGGTATAGAACCTTTGTAAAAGCGCAAACCAGTTTAAGTGATGATGATCTTGAGTCCTTCAATGAATGTATAGGCTCTCCTGCAAATGCAAGATGTTCCTTCAGCTGTCAATGCCTTGCAGTTTTACACAAATGTGCAACCTAGCATAAGGTGCCGTATGCTTTCTCTTCCATGATGCTTGATGTTTTGGGTGTTTTGTTTAATTGTTTTGAAGGGGTCGAGGTTTCACCTTTGTAAATTTCATTACTAAATGTACCCAAAATAACGGACTCATTTTTCGTTATTCAGAGGAAGGAATGTTTATGTTCAGTTCTCATCGCACCAAGAGCTGACAACCATGGAGCAGAACACGCAGAGCCGAGCCGATGAGGTTAAGACTTACTATATTTTAAGAAATTGAATTAAGAGGCTTATAGGATAGTCTTTTCCCTTATGTAGATCTTATGTCGTCATTCAAGTGGCCACTTTCTTGAAATCCACCACGGCAAATTCCAAAACCCAAACATTTACCTTTAACTCATAGTTGAACTGTATAGAAACAGCCTTTATTGCCATGTGTAAACCCCTCATATTGGGGATTGTGATGAAAGTTATTGTCTCGGCATTTCGGTTGATAGTTTCTAGTTTCTACCACATGTTTTTGAAACTCACGTGTACTTACAAGAGTAATTCATAATAAGAACTGAATAATTGATGTTATAGAGCAGAATGACAGGCATTTAGTGCAGCTGGTGATGGTTTGACTTCAGCATATTGTAGTGTAGATGATTGCTTTGAATGGTTCCCTCTTTCGATGGTCCCACTTCATTAGGCTGCAGTTTGACTTTTTGTGGTCGAAGATTTTTCAATGTAGAGCAATAATATATGTTTTTCATGCAATGCAGTTTATATTGTGAAGGTAGCTATGTAGAATAATTTTATTTGCTTGGTATAGTTATAAGAGTACACTCGTAAAAGTTCATGATTTATAAGATTAACTAAAACATTTTGATTAAAAAACATTGGGCAAAGTTCTACTTTTTTCAATCACAAAAAGTCAATTATGGCCTATAACAGCGGGATGGAGTTTGTAACAATTTTATCTGCACCACATCTTTTGTATGTGTCTAGCTTTCCTGTTCTGAGGTATTCAAGAGATTTTTAATTTTTTGTTTTCCCTAATGCTGCACCACATGTGATGTTTTTACAAGAGTGAATATGTTTATATCATGACTGCCATAGCTAAAAACCATAGAAAACTGACTAGCATGATAATTTGTGTAGCATGTTATGTGTATTTTTATTTTTTTTAGTACGTTCTCTCTTTTTTCCATCTGTTCTATTCTATTCATTCTCTTTCTCTCTTCTCCTTCTGTCTCTATGTTGTTGCTCTGCTGTTCGGCTCTCTCTGGACTCTCACAGCCTAATCGAATTCTCTTAGTTACAATACATCACATGCTATACCCTATAACCGTGGAAGTGCTGCATCAAGTGTTTTCCCCACATGGATTTGTAGAGAAGATCGTCACTTTTCAGAAGTCTGCTGGTCAGCTTCTTCAAGTTTTCTCTATATGTTTTCACTTTATTGCTAGATTCTTATCGAATTTCGTCTCTGGAAAAATAACTCATATGCAGCAATATCTATATGCAAATGTCACACTGACATACTATATTTGTTATTTTTGTCAATTTCTAATGGATCCTATTGGGATGTCATGCTCTGCACTCATGGTATATCTTGGATTATATAGTTGGTTGATGGGATGTGAATTTTGTAGGTTTTCAAGCTTTGATTCAATATCAAACAAACCAAAATGCAATTACTGCTCGGAATGCTCTTCAGGTGCACTTCTCATATCTCTCACTCTATCCATCTCAAAGAGACTTGTTTCACATGCATTCAGTCACAAATAAAAAGTCTGTGCTGATCAGATGAAATATATTTTTAAGTGATTTGCCAAGAATTTACATCAAAAATCACATACAAGTCACGGATGATTAATACAGTTAAACCAACAAAATCAAAACTAAACATCTAACTAGTATTTATGATTTATAGTAATTATATAATGTATACTTGTACATTACCAAAATTTGAAAGCGGTATATTGCTCAAACACGACTCTTTATTTATTTTTTATTTTTTTGGGTGGGGGGTATTGAGCTAATAATATATTTGAGCGTTTTTAAATGAATGAGAATCCATTCCTGCCATTTAATAGAAGTTAATATAGTAGAAGTGCTAAATTGGAATGATCTCTATAACAATAACCCCTGTTTTATTACTCCCTCATTTACAATTTGTTCGGAAGAGGAAAACTTTGTGAGCCACATATTCTTTTCCTTGAAAATGAAATTGGAAATTATATTGGGACAGATAAAAAAGGAAAGTGATGCCTTTTTAGGGACGGATGGAGTATAAAATATTTTGGTCCCAACTTAGTATTTTTAACATATACCTCTAATAAGTGAACCTCTCAATAATAACAACAATAATAATAGAATAGTTGAGTCTCAAACATATTGTTATATTCAGGTTTTACTACTTCCTAACTTTTTTTATATATAGGGCCGTAATATCTATGATGGCTGCTGTCAACTGGACATTCAGTTTTCGAAGTAAGTTGTTGATCCTTTTTGAGACTTTTCCCCCCTGGTTTGTACTTGCTGGGGGTTTCTTCTGTGCATGTTGTCAGTTTCATTGGTGTTTGCTGACAACTCTTTCCACTGTTTTGTTCATATGTTGTGATGTGTTAATAATGCATATTTCTTTTCTTTTGGGTGATCTGCAGCCTAGATGAATTACAAGTGAACTATAATAATGACAAATCAAGGTGTTGTAGCTGAGTTTCATTTCTGTTTTGGAAAATAAGAGTAGCTTTCCACTTGAATAACACTGCTTTATTACGTCTTTATTTATAGGGATTTCACCAACCCAAACCTACCAACTGAACAAAGGGGGAAATCTTCTCAAGTAGTTTCTTTACACTGAATTTGTTTGGGGAAAATCCCTATTTTTATGATTGAGAATACTTGTGAGTGATTTTTTTAAATCTTTTGATGTATAACAGCATGGCTATGGAGATGTTGGAGGGATGTATCCCTTACAAGCCTCAGGTGCCCATGCCCGTTATCTTTTACTATTATTTTTTGAAAACTTTTTTACGGCTTTTTTTTGCATCTCTAACTTTGTTTTCTTGTTGTCTCTCTCCAGTTGGATTTCATCAGGTGTGTATATTTCCCTTTTTCTCAGTCTCGAAATAATGCAACCAAATTTGCATCTGACAAGTTATTTTCCTTTTCATTTCACGGCTTTGTCTCCTTTAAAACAGATGGGGAATTCTGCTATTGCAGCTGCATTTCCCGGCGGGTTGCCTCCTGGAATAAGTGGGACAAATGATAGGTGCACTATTCTCGTTTCCAATCTAGATCCGGATGTAAGTGTATTTTCAAGCTCTGTTATCTTTTTCAATTTTTTTTCTGATTATCGACGCCTGACTTTTCAATATTTCTCCTCAATGCAGAGAATAGACGAGGACAAGCTTTTTAACCTTTTCTCCATATATGGAAACATTGTCAAAATCAAACTTCTACGCAACAAACCGGATCATGCACTGGTTCAGATGGGTGATGGTTTCCAAGCTGAATTAGCCGTCCACTTTCTGAAGGTCTCTTTATTCTTCCTTCTTTTTGTATGAATACTTCTTTTTTTTTAGGTAGAGTTTTCCTGATTGAGAATTTTAAAGAGCTGAGGTGGGCCACATTACAGGATGTGGACCCCGCCAAAATGTTGAGTTGGCTTCATCATGTGCAACCAACTACCTCAGTGATCCCTAAAACACTCTACCCACTTTCCCTTTTTGAATGTCTCAAAAATCACTTCCCACATTGTCATACAGAGTATAATTTTTTCACTTTTCAATGCTTTTCTTAAACTTCACGAAAGTCAAAGGGATAAAACACAACTAATCAGTTGGCTAATTGGCATGTGAGGCCTACCTAAATGCTGCTTCAGATTCACTCACCAGTTGCTTGAATTTTGATTGTGTTGCATCTCCCATTGCAGGGAAGCATACTCTTTGGCAAGCGGTTGGAGGTGAACTTCTCAAAGCACCCTAACATAACGGCCGGACCGGATACTCACGACTATTCCAACTCCAACCTGAACCGGTTCAACCGGAACGCCGCAAAGAACTACCGGTATTGTTGCTCGCCAACCAAGATGGTCCACCTGTCAACCCTCCCGCCCGACGTGACCGAGTTGGAAATAGTGTCCCACTTGGAGGAGCACGGCGCCGTGGTCGGCAGCAAGCTCTTTGAGATGAATGGGAAGAAGCAGGCCCTTGTCCTTTTCGAAAGCGAAGAGCAGGCCACCGAAGCCCTTGCGTGCAAGAACGCGTCCTCCCTCGGCGGATCCACCATTCGGATCTCCTTCTCTCAATTGCAGAGCATCTAATTTTGGCACAAGATTTTAATGCCTCCCCTCTACTCATTGTATTCGACACTTTCTTCCTTTGTAACACTAGTTTCTTTTCTTCATAGGGCCGTTTGGGTAAAGACTCTGAAACAAAACAAAAAATAGTTTTTTCTTCGAAGATATATCCTGAAAACATTTGAAACTTGTGTGAGAATCAAAGAGTTGCTTCAGCAATCCTCTTTTCATGGGTACATTCCGATCAGAAGTTATATTTCATTTGGTATTTGATTTTTGAACTGTTTTTTAAACTTAAATATGACAGCAAACAAAATTCATTTGCAAGGTTTATGGGTTATCTATATGATGGCAGCCTGATGGGTGAATTTGATTTATGCATAGCATCTCGAAAAGTAGTTTTGTTTAAGGTTTATGGAACGGGAGCTCATTGTGAAAGTAAACATTTTTCTCCAGTAGTTGAAAGACTGCAATTCCTTCAAGTTGCTCCCAGAATCATTTGCGCCATACCCATAATGAAAGTCTTCAAACCCAGCCAGGATCGAATAAATCGTCTAAGCCATCATAACAGACATCGAGCTCATCATCGATTTCCTCAAATGAATCCCAGAAATTCGTGTTTCCTTTAGCAAATGCCTCCCCTTCGCGAACCAGCTCCATAAGCTTATCATTGATAGCCAGTAGCTCATCCTTCTCCTTGAGCTCACCAGCATCATCATAACCTTCAACCAGAAACACAGAGTGCCTCAGCCCCTTCAAACTCACATAGAACAGCTCAGGGTGCCTAACCAGCATTGCCCTCAGTTTATTCGGCAGCCCAAAGTCCTTCCTGAACAGCGTCAAGTGGTCGATCGGAGCCCTCTTCTCCACTGTCATGGCCAACACTTCCCTGACAACAGCACAAGCCCTTTTCTCCGCTTCAACAGACTCGCAACGAAAATCCAAGTCCCCCACATTTGATGATTCATAAGGGCACACATGTGGCAGTTTGCTGAACTTGATAAGGTAATCTTTATGGCCACTCTTCACATTCAGCCCCTTTCTCAGCCTCAAGTGTTCGAATTTCAAAGGTCTGTCCACGATCATCCCAAGTGAATCAGAACCAACCTCGTGCGAGGGCAAAGAACGGGCCAAATTCGAATCCCAAGAAACAAGCTCCAGAGCCACCCCGTAGGAAGTCTCCACAAGTCTGAATCTATCCGGGAATTGATTGCACAGGCGAGAACGGAAATCGACTGGCAATCCAAGATCAGGGCCCAAGTGCCCCAGCTTGGATAACAAAAGCCTGCGATGGGATGAGAGCATCAAGAGCTTCTGCAGCTTTGCAGCTGAGATAACTGCCATATTCGATTTCAATTCTGATTCTTTAACCGCAAGAGCTGCCGCTGCCCGGGTCAGCCTAACACAGAGCAACGGGACGGGTGGTGTTTGGATGGTGAAGAGTTCGAAAACCGTAGGGTACCGATGAATCATTCTTGGTATAGAGCTTGGATTGGAGAGAGCCAGATAGGCACGGAACTTGTGAAGAGCTTTGATGGGCAAGAAATGTTTGGGTGTTGATAAAAGTAGAGTCTTTAGCTTCTGAGCGAAGCGGACTTTGTTGGATTTAACAATGTGCCTGTCCAAAGAGCGATCCCGGACTGGTTTGACGCGGCCGAGGGATGAAGCGCAGACGAATGAACCAGTTCTAAGAATGCATACCTTGTGTGCTTTGGCGGCCCTGGGTGTGGCGACGCTCCGAAGGAGGAGGCTGTCTTTGTACCGACGGATCGGAGAAAGGAAACGGCGGGATGTGTTTGGGAGGAGCTGAGGTGTTTCCGGCAGTCGGAGCATCATTTTACAGTTGCATCAGTCGTTGAGGCAAACCATCGAACACTTGGTCGGCCCTCGCTGGTTTTTGGCAAATTTTCGTGTGGCTTCCACTTACGCCAAGTTTTGGTCCAGACAGAAAAGAATGACCAAATCAGACCCTTAGGTTCACAGATTGAATCCGGTTGAATGTATTTTGGATCCCTCCTGAGAAAAGAAAGACATTTATATCTCAGTCTAGCCCAATCTATTCCGATCTAAATCTAAAATTATGTTCTGTCTCGTCATGACCCTTAAATCTTTAATGTCGACCATGGTAGTGGTGGCACCCGCAAATAAAAGTGATAATAGTTGGTGGTGACTATAGTCAGTGTTAGACCTGGCAATTGGATCAATCTGATGAATTCTAGTATAGATTTGTTTAGTTCGGATATATGTTATAACCGGTTTGATTGAGATCGATCGGTTTAATTTTGGTTCAGATTTATTTCTCTTCCATACAATTTTTTGTTTCAGTTTGGTTCCGGCTCAGACTTATTTCGATTCAATTTTGGTTTGAATATCAATCGATTCAGATATATTTCAGTTCGAATATATTTTGATTTCGGATGTTTTCAAAAAAATATTTCGGTTCTAGATATAATTTGATTCGGATAGATTTTGGACATATGTTATTTTGAAATTAAAATTTAATTATCTATGTTCCTTATTTGATCATATCATGTTTATCAATCTATCATCAAGGAACCGTCTCATATGATTTTAAATTTTTTCTAAATATATTCCCTGCGCCTTTAATAATCTTCCATTTTTATCTTTTAGTAATATTTTTACAAAGTTGGACTTCTCTTTCAAATTATGAAAAAAAGTATGTTTTTATTGAAATTGAATGCAATTTATGGTAAAAATTGAGTAAATTAGGTGAAATTAATTCAAATCTACTCAATTTTGGTCTTAAAAATTGTTACAATTGAATGAATTTGAATACAATTTAATGTGAATTTTAATGAAATTATTTGAATTTAAATCATTTTTATTCATAATTAGATGAAGTTGAATACAAATATGTTAATATAAAGTGAAATTAGGTGAATTTGAATGCATTTGGTTGATATTAGATAAAATTAAATCCAATTCAATGAAGTACAATCAATTTTACACCTAAATTGATTGAAATTACATACAATTGGACTACATTGAAGTGAAATTAAATGTAATGGAGTTTAATTTTTTAACATGCAACGCACGAGCTCGAATCTAGTATATACATAGAAAAAAACTAATTTGGAATAATTATTCCAATCAAATAAGGTTGAGTTTAATGAGATGAAAATTAATTAAAATTGAGTAAAACTTAGCAAAACTCATTTACTTTTATGTCAAAAAATTGTTTAATATGGTTAAGATTGAAAGTGGTAAGGTAAAAATTGAGTAGAATTTGATAAATTACATACAAAATGGTTTAGATGTGTTGAATTTGAGTAAAATTGAATGTAATTAGATAAAATTTGGATGAAAGTAAATAAGTTTAAATATGTATTTTTTAGTAAATTTAATAATTAGTCCTTTGTAATGATAATTATTATATTTTTGAACGGAGAGAGCAAATAATATAACTAGCTGAAGTGGTAAAATAAATGTAAAACTTTGAAATCACATGAATGTAATTATGCACTAATGTAAATAAATACAAAATATTTAATGTGAGGCAGAATCGATTTCAGATATAATTGGTCTTGGATATAATCAGTTTCGGTTATTGTCGGTTTTAGATCTTATCGATTTCGCGTATTATCGATTTTGGATTTAATTGGCTGGATCTGATTGGTTTCAGATTTAAATCAGATATGGATATATTTAGTTTGATTTCAGTTTGATTTGGATCATTTTGATTTCTTGGTCATAAATCAATTCTTCACTTTTCATATCATTTCTGTTTTGAATGAATTTAGGTGAAATTAATTCAAATTCACTCAACTTTATTCTTAAAAATTGTTACAATTGAATGTGAAATTTAATGAAATTATTTTGAATTTCAATCAATTTTCTTCCTAATTAGATGAAATTGATTACAATTATGTTAAATTAAAGTGAAATTAGGTGAATTTGAATGCATTTTGTTGAAATTAGATAAAATTAAATCCAAATCGATGGAGTACAATCAATTTTACACCTAAACTGATTGAAATTGCATACAATTCGACTACATTGAAGTGAAATTAAATGCAATGGATTTAAAGTTTTAATTTAATTTTTTAGCATGCAATGCACAAGCATGAATCTAGTATATACAGAGAAGGAAACTAATTTAGAATAATCTTTTAATCCAATCAAATAAGATTGAGTTTAATGAGATAACTATTAATTAAAATTAAGTAAAACTTAGCAAAATTCATTTACTTTTATGTCAAAAAAAGTTTCAGTTGGTTAAGATTGAAAGCGATAAGGTAAAAATTGAGTGGAATTTGTTAAATTACATACAAATGGTTTAAATGTGGTGAATTTGGGTGAAACTGAATGTAATTAGGTAAAATTTGGGTGAAATTGAGTAAATAAGTTTAAAATCAATCAAATTTACTAAAATAAAATTAAATGTAATCAGATGAAACTAGGATAAAATTAGGTTTCTTCATGCAATTTAATATGTATTTATTTAGTAAATTTAATAATTGGTCCTTTGTAATGATAATTTATTTTTGATCGGAGAGAGTAAATAATATAACTAGCTGAAAGGGTAAAATAAATGTAAAAATTTGAAATCACATGAATGTAATTATGCACTAATGTAAATAAATATAATATATTTATTGTCAGGCCGAATTAGTTTTGGATATAACCAGTTTTGGATATAATCAGTTTCAGGTATTATCAGTTTTGGATCTTATCGATTTCGCATATTATGAGTTTCAGATATTATCGGTTTCAGATTTAATTGGTCGGATCTAACTGGTTTCAAATTTAAATCGAGTATGGCTATATTTAGTTCGATTTCAATTCGATTTGGATCATTTCGGTTCTAAATCAAATTTTCACTTTTCAGATCATTTCTGCTTTGGTTTCAAAACATTCGGTTCGAGTTATCATTTTCACTTCTGTTTTGCCATTTTTAGTCAATGTTATTTAAATGAGGTGTCGCTAATGACAGTGATAGTAAGCAGTAACTTTCAACAACAGAAGCTTTCACTGGTGAAAGGGGCTCTGACATGGTTGGAATACCGACCCTGGTGATGGCAACGGTAAATGAAAATGATAATAGTTAACGGCAACGATAATGAATGTTACATATATGAGGCGTTGCCAATTACAATGGTAATAAGCAGTGATTTTCAACAATAAAAGCAACCACTAGTGATAGGGGTTGTGACATGGTTGGAATACCGACCCTGGTGGTGGCAACAGTAAATATAAGTGATAATAGTTGACCGCGACGACGTCACTATTATTAAATGTGGTGTCGCTAATGACAGAGGGAGTAAGTAGTGATTTTCAACAATAGCAACAACCACTAGTGATGATGGTTGTGACATGGTTAGATAAGTGGTGGTAGCAGCAATGTCGATAGTGGTACTACTTGTTAACAATAAGAATGATCCACAACATTAACATGGCATAGTCGTTAGTGATTAGGTTTGTAGTACCTAAAAGTAAAACTTATACTGATGTTTGTGCTGATGGGGGAAGTCATTGTTTGCCTAACGGTAGTTAGTTATATCAATTTTTTTGAAAACAAAGAAATCACTTCATTCAACCAAAAAAGGCTGTACAAAATCAGGTGGAGTCACAAACCAAACCCAAACAATCAGGTGGAGTCACAACTCTTTTAGCCAACACATGAGCTAACACATTGGATATCCGAGGGACAAACAACAAAGTAGCATAATTAAACTGAAATAACAAGCCTCGACAATCACTAATAGCCGAACCAACATAAGACAAAAAAACAGACTCTCCATTTATTGCTTCTACAATCCTAGAGCAATCCGAGAACACCTCCAACTCCGTAAGTCCTTGCTCCCTCGCCCAACCCAAAGCCCTTTTACATGCCATCGCCTCCGCTAAACCTGGATCAGTCTCACATACTGATTCTCCATTCAACGCAGCAAAGAAAGAGCCATCATGGTTAAAGAATTCGAAAGTAAAAAAATAATTTTTTTCCATTTTTTTCCTTCCACTTTTCCTTTCGTTTCCATTTTTATAACCAAACAAAAAATACTCTCTCCGTGCTCATTTTGTTTGTAATTTTATTTTCTCTCTCGTCTCAATAACTTTTGTTTATTTATTTATTTTTATTGATTATTTAATAAAATAAAATATTCTTAAGTATTACTCATTATCTTTAATTGATGTACCAATTTATAAACAAAATGATTTCAAAAATCATAAGATTATACATTGTAATTCCGATTTTGTAACCAAAATAAAGACGGAGAGTATTGATTTCCACTTGCCAAACAGAGTCACCCACAATGGTGGTCGGAAGTCATTGATTGTCTTGTGTATCATCGTTCATGGAATGCGTATGTAGCTCGAATTGTCATTTGTGATTAGTATTCACTTGTAAAATGTGTGATCTCATGTGCAATTACATCAAAGTGTCGGTTGGCAACCAATTCAACATTGTGAAAAGACTTTATAACCACAACTTTTAGCTAAAAGGCGACTCTGTAAAGAAAACGATTATAATTATAGTAATATATATTGCAATTCAGCTATAAAGGGATACTAATTTCATTGAAGACCAGACAAAGCAGAATTCGTTATCAGTCTCAGAAGAGCATTACAGGAGATTACTAATACAGTGGTAATTTTGTCTGCTACACAGACAGCTAATCTCCATTGAAAAAAAGGGAGAAAAGCCCAAGAGAATAGAATCGATGCATTAATGCAATTGCCTACCTCCTGATGGAAACCCCCCTAATCTCTCGTACAAGGAGTGGAAGAGGCACTGATTAGGGAAAAAAAATCCAATGCCCCCAAAACTACAAATTTAATTAAACCTTCTATGTGGGAATAGTTACTTGATGGATGGATATATATATGTATGTACGTACACAAGTGTGGGGGCAATCTTCTGGTCATCACCGACCCGAGGAAGCCAAACTCCAGTCCTCGGCACCTGCAGAGAGTTGATTGACCACCATTGATGGTGGCGGCTGGAGAGGGAGCTGGAATCCAGAGACCACTGCTTGTGAAGGGACATAAAGTGGTTCTTCTTGTTTGGGTGTGTAATTGAAGGATAGATCCCGGTTAGCTGCCAATGCCAGTAGCTCTTTCTCCTCCAGCCCCTTTGCAGGTCCCGCGGTGCTGTGCCCGCTCTCTCCCCCATATTTTGCAATTGCATCTTTGAATTTCTTGATCTGTTTTATCACCATACAAAAAAAGATTGTTCTTACTTTCTTGGTTCATTCATCACTTCTGTTATGATGATTGATCTATTACAAGGTCATTCAGTGCAATTTCGTGAATTGGTTTGGTAGACAGAGGCATAGGAATGGAGTTTTTATATCCGATGTCATATTTAGTCCATGGGAATCATTCAAGTAAAGAGATCTAATAGGGGAAACACACGAGGACTGACCGTAGCATTAGTGCAGCTGAAGCTACAAACACGGCCTTGAGGTCCTCTGTAGAAACGGAAGAAGGGAAGAACATGTACATTAAGGCTGTAACACATCGACTTGTGCTCCTCATAGTTCACCTGCAGAAACTGTATGCCTGGGTTCATCTCAGCCAATTGGCATATCTGCATTCCCACACATTAAGAGTAAATATCAGCTTATATCAATACCTTCTGGATCCTGCAGGGAGACAAGGACACTAATTTTGATCTAAAACAGGAAAGCTCAAAACTACGGCAACTTAACATCTATGCTTCAATTGCTTTACCAAATAAGTCGAATTAGACTCGGACATTGAATAATACACACATTCATTCAAAAAGGCAATGGCATTTAATTGCAGTGCATCAACCAAGATGAAAGATACAGCAAGTTTGTATGTACCTTGGGATGGAGGGCTTTGCAGCCACCACAACCAGGGGAAAAGAAATCCACCACGACCAATTTGTCAGCGGCTTTGCAAAGAGAGTCCACAAGGTCTTGAGCACCGCCGACTTCTTTCATGTTGGGCTGAACCCCTTTCTCCCACCATCTTTGAGCTTTCCCAATTCCAAAGCTAATCTGTGAAAATCATATGCTGTGAATGTTAACAAAAACATCTCTAATCGGCTACATCAACTGCCCTAATCATACAGTAAAAGTTTCATTGTAGATCTAACTTGGCATAAACCCTTGATTGGTCAAAATTAACAAAAAATCGATAAAATATAATTTAAAACGGCAAGGATTTGCCCCTCAAGACTCCAGACAGAGATTTGTATTTCGTGATGATTAATTCTGATGGAAATTAAAAAGCTGTTTGACGGATTAACGGACCTGTTTCCGGCCATTTCCAGCGGAAAGCGTGTTGCCGATGTCCACTCCGCGGCCATTAAAATCAGTGCTCGGTGAAATCGGACCTCCGCACCGGAGTTTCATCGGCTGAACATCCGAGCACGCGCGCGATAAAACAGCCGATACATCCGGAAACCTACAAACTCCGCGTTGACTGCAGCCGCGAGTCGCCGATTTAGAACTGATCCCCGACGGCGTGAACCCCACGCCGGCCACCATGCTCACCGCTTCCGCCATGGATGAAAATTTTCTCGGTTCGATTCTAAAAATGAACTTCCGGCCGTATAAAGGGGGATGGATGAATACACTCCGTATATATATATACATTGTTTGTCCGGATTTCGCGAAGATGACGACGAGGGTAAAGTTGGAATTTCGACGGTCAAAATGGTGGCATCCAAATCCAACGGCTGAGCGAGGCTGGGTGCTCGGTCATCTCGCCACGTGTCGCGAAAGGAGATCAAGGAGTGGGAGGATCCGAAAATTTAGGTTTGGATAAACGAATGGATAAAGTGGGCAATGGATGGACCCGATGGTCACGAGAAATGTTTTTTTGAGCACGTCGAGATGCATCCTTTTTTTTTAATTTGGTTGGTGGGCCCCGCCGTATCTAAGGTAATCTATCGCTCTTGGTTTTTTCCTAACGTGCTCCGACCAAAGAGTTGTTTTCACTTTCATAAAAAAAAGAAAGAAAAATTAGGTGGATTGATGGTTTACACTTTACAGTTTGTTTCTTCTATCTAATTCAATTAAAATTCATTTGATTTTATTAACGTCGGAATAAATTTGGCCTGATATGATTTAATTATAATTATATTTAAATTTAATTCTAAGTTAAAAAATACATTCTCTTAATAGATACTCCCTTTGCCACAAAATAAAATGAAGAGTAATACTCCCTTCGTCCCACAAAAAAGTTCTCATTTTAAATAGTATTTAGTTAAATATTTACACGCTTTGACTAAAAATTATGAAAAAGGTATATTGAATTATAAAGTAAATTTAATATAATTGGATTTATCAAAGGATCTAGTTTTGATATTCCAAATTTTTTAACATTTCTTTATTTAGATTATATTTAATTTATGGTCAAAGTGTATAACTGTTTGACCAAAAATATATCAAAATGAGAACTTTTTTGTGGGAAGGAGGGAGTAATTGAGCTTTCTTCTTTCGTTAACTTCAGTTGGTTGTTTGCATTTTTATGATGTCTTTGCTTTATCTGTCTATGTGATTTTCTATTATTGATATTAGTACTGCGTGAGCTGAGTCTCTTGGGAAAAGCCACTCTATTTCTGTGTAAGTACACCATCTCTAATGCATTGTTTGGATAAAAAGAGAATATGGAAGGAGAGAAAATAGGTGGAAAGAAAATAGAGAGAAGAGAAAATGGAGAGAAAATATAAATAAAGTGAATGTTGTTTGGATGAGTAAAAAATGAAGAGAAAAAGAAAGAGGAAAGAAAATGTAATAAAACAAAAAGACACTTTTACCCTTATTATAACTTTTTTGAATACAATGAAGGACAAAAGTGTCATTTGTTGAGTTTTCTCTCCATTGGAAGATTTTCTCACCTCTTGAGTCTTGAGGGGAGAAAACTTTTTTGCTTCCCCCATTAGTCATTTTCCACTCCCTCCCCATTTTCTCTTACAAACAAACAATGAATTTTTTTTGGGAATTGTGTTTTCCCTCATATAGTTTTCTTTCTACCCAATTTCACCTCATCCAAACACAAGCTAAACCGTGCTGTCAAGTTGGATTTTTATTATGTTTAGACTTCAAAGTCGCACTTGATTTAATAGTAATGAAATCAAAATATGTTCATTTGTTAGAATTTTCTCACATCGGAAAATAAAGAAGAATACCATTAGCATTTATAGACGGGTAATGTCCTACCTATCAGCTTAAGTTTTTGGGTTAGAAAGTGGATCCCAATTTTATATATAGGTGGTTAATTTTATCTGACATTCTTCATGTTGTTCTCGACCCACCGAAATTTTAACATGGTATCGAAGAAGGTTCAGTGGGTTCGATTCTTCCATATTTTTTGGACGTCGGTTTGAATGAGTTACCCATCCATGGTTTGGGTTGAGGGTGCTATTACAGATTGAGATGTCATCGCCCGTTGTGTGGGCTAGCTATAAGAGATTGAGATGCTAAACCCGTTTGTCCAAATGCTAATTAGGTCAGACTCGTTACCATTCGAGGAGGATTGTTGGAGTTCCCACATTGGAAAATACAAAAAATACCACTAACATATATAGAAGTGTGAAACTCTACCTATCAGCTTAAGCTTTTAAGTTAGAAATTAAAGTGGATCCCGACTTTATATGTAACTGGTTAATTTTACTCGACACTTAGAGCAACGGGATAGGAAGAAGAATTGTGAAGAATGGTGAGAAATTAAAGGAGTTGTGTTCTTCTTATATAGGGAGAGTGGGGAAGAACAAGACACAGATGCTGCATAGGAATCGACTCACGATCGGTTGAGTGGAGGAGGAGGCGTCGTTCCCTGATTGGGACTAATTTGCTCCCAGTCGGGGTACACTTTTTAGTCCAACTTTCTCCGAATTGAATTCCGTTTGCATCGTTGCGATTACACTATCGAACTCTATTTAACGATATAATTTTTATATATATTTGTAATACTTTTTCCGACATCATATTTTTAGGTGTTTGACTTTGACAGTGTCAAAATTGATTTATTTGACATTTATTCAAAAAGATTCTCTCATTTAATTCAAATTATTTATTCTCATGATTTATTTGAATAAATCATTTCAAAGTTCACATCATAAAAATTTTTTTTATTTGGGTCTGTACTCTGGTCTCTAATCAAGACCACACAAATAGTCAACATATTGAATTTATCTCTATGAGATTTATCATGATTTGATATTAGATAACAAAACATATTTCATATCGGTCCAAAGCCCGATAATAATTTATTTTAATCAAAACAAATTTATTTAATTGAATATTTAATTAATAAATTTTATGATATATTTTGGGGCGTTACATAAGGTGACATATTTCTTAGCTTGTGTTATTCATTTTGTAGAGAGCGTTGAGTGAATTAGTTCACCTCAAACTTTATCTCCATGTCTCTATAATAATATTCTCAATTTAAAAAACATTACTCCATGTGTTCTAGTTTATTTTGCATGTTCAATTTTTGTGGATAGTTCACAAAAAATTACTCCTGTTGCGTCAATTTAAATCATCTGTTTCGCTTTATGATTTTTCACTAAAGTTATATTTAATAAAATTTATTTGAGATTTGATCATAATAATAAAATAAAATTAAAACCGCATTAAAAGATCAACATGAGGTGATGTGACTATATTATTTTATCAAATGAGTAACAAAAGTAGAGATATAAAGTGAATAAAATTATTTCTACTGAATAGTAAACATACAACTTAATTTTGGATGAAAGGAATAACAATTTTGAAATTATTATCCAATGACACTCTTACATTTTGGAAGGTTATCCACTTATCCCTACCATTTATGTTAATTAAAAATGTTATTCCCCAAACAAAATCATAAGAGTGTAATATCATCGCATCATTTTGAATGCTTTTAAAACAATTTATTGATATTTTAAAATGTCAAAATGTGAGTAATATTTATTTGAGTAAATATTTGTCAAGGAACCAACTCAACCAAAAGCTCAAGCTTGTGATTGTGACCCAGGAACAGTTATTTATATTCTAACACGCCCCCTCACGTGCAGGCGTAGTCTTTTTCAAACCTTGCACGTGAAACCTTTATTTTTTTAAACTGGGTGGCGCTGAGTTTCGAACCCGTGACCTCTTAGTCAACGAGGCTCTGATACCATGTCAAGGAACCAACTCAACCAAAAGCTCAAGCTTGTAAATTAACGATCATTGTTACAATGGGATTTAACTATAAAAAGTGAAAATATTCAAATAAATTCGGGCAAATTTTTTCCTTTACTATTTTTCATGCGTTCCAATATTAACTTTCCTTTTTTAAAAAATACTGTACAATTCATTACATTTTTATTTATTCTAAACAAAATTAAACAACTTTTTTTTTTAAAAATCATTATATATTTTTTAATGCAGACATGAAGTGATACCATAAAAAGAGAGGGTGGGATTTAAATTTGCAAACATTTTTTTGTCGGAATATTTTGCAGGTGATGTACCCATATTTGACTACTTGTTCATCTTTTTTCCACAATTTTTCAACGCTGCTACAGTACTAATTGAATGGTCCCCTAAATTTAAAACTGGTTCACATTTCATTAGGGAGAGTAAGGTTTTGCTGCCTTGAATGTTTTTTTAAATAAAAAAAAACATGCATTCCGCTTTGTTTGCAAACAACATTTTCAATTAGTGTTAGCATTTTGAACAAAGTTTAATGATGTAGATTAATTCTGAAAACATTAATGCTAAAGGCTATCATCAGAGAGCCTTTTTAAAACACTTACATACGCTAATCTGTAACGTTGATGCTAAACAGGACCTTCTAAAATCTAAAAATTATCAATGAATTAAGATCAGCCGAGTATAAATATTGCGGAGTAAATTTTCAAAAAAATGAAATTGAAAAAAATGTAAAAATTCTTTTTAATCAAAATTTATAATTTGTTAATGTGGTGCAAAATCCCAAACAATTAAAAACATTTTTCTTAAAAACTACTTCTATAAAGATATATCAATACGTAATGTCAATAATATTGTAAAATGCCAACATACAATGCCAAATTGTGACATTACACAATGTCAATTTTTTTATTTTGAAAATAAAAACATAAGAGACCTATTTTGGTATAAATTTAATATTTTAATCTTATTTAGATATATTTCTGAATGGGAAAAGAAGAAGAAACTTATAAATTTATAATACAAAGAGAGCAATTAAGTTTTATTTTATAATATATGAATACTTTTTTTTATAAGACTAAAACTGAATTTTGAGATATTGTTTGAAAATTTCAACGTTTTGAAACATTCAACCACACCTTTTATCCAGTATGTGAAAAAATGTGTTGACAATTCTCTCACACCCTAAAGCCCCGTTTGGTACACAGAATTCAAACTATGGAATTAGAATTGAGGATTTCAATTTCAATTTTGGTGTTTGGTAGCACATAACTTATGTGAATTTGGAATTGATAGTGCAAAAAATGAATTGGAATTGATAGAATTCAATTCTATGGAATTGAATCCCATGGAATTTCAATTCCAATTCAATTTCAATTCCGTCAATTCCGTATACCAAACGGACCCTAAGTCACTTTTTGTAGCACAAGTAACATGTTAGAGGTGTATAGGCCTGCCAAGGTTCGGGCCGGTCCATAATATTTTATACTCATCCCCTTTTTTTTAAAAAAAAATGGTCCTAATCCGTACCCGTTTACCTGATGAGTCTTGAAGTTTAATCCTAGATTTAGATCCATTGGGTCTCGGTATGAAGTCGGGTATACTATTAGTGAAAAACAATAGTATTGACATTACTATTGTTGAAAAACCGGGTATACTTTTACTTTTCTTTAATTGAAAAACAATTAGTGAAAAATACTATGAAGTATTGACATTACGTATTGATATATACGTTTAAAGAAAAATACTTTTCTTTAATTAAAAATACGTTACTGCAAAAAAAATCGGCCTTTACCAAAAATTTACACCAAAAATCTTAGATTCATAATTGGCCTTCTTGTTACATTCATTCATGTTGCGAAAATGTTAATGATGGGTATATCCCTTTACCCGACCCGGACAACCGAAAGGGACAGGTCAAAGTATGACCGGTCATTTCTATCAATCACCAAATGAGGTTAACTCTTCGATTTGGACGGGTCAAAAGTTGACCGGTCACTTCCACTAAAAAAGTGACCGGTCACATTTTGGGCGATAGCGAAAATATCACCTTATTCTACGAAGGACATTCTAGAATACCAAAGAGACGGGTTGAGCGCAAGAAATGACCGGGTAACCTTTCAGAGAAGGTGACCGGTCATATCACTTTACTTGGCTAACATTGGTCTAGTCTCTTAGGCATGGTGAACCACGTCAGAGGTTAAGGGGACACCCCGCCGCTCATCCATCACGAGGCACACAGTGAAAGGGATGTTTGTCATTTTGCAGGGTTGATTGGATTGAGAATATCCATTTTAGTCTTTGATTGAACAGTGCTTTTTGGTTGTATTAGTAGCAAGTCCATGATTGTACAGTGCTTCCATTATCTACAGTGACCTTCCCACGAGCTTCCTATTTTGTCCATGGATGAACAGGGGAAGGTCACAAATCCTCCTCTATAAATATGATGATATTGGATAGAGGAGGGGATCCATTCTTTATCTCACTAAAAAACTAGTACACTCTTGAGACAGAGTAAGAAATATATTTCGGACTGAGGAGATTTACCCGGTCTAGGTCATACTTTGTGTTCTTGTTATGTGTTTTATATTACGGGTCAAGTGTCCAGGTCAAACCCGGTCAACCCACCCATCTATATTTACACCATCATTTTTGGCGCCGACCGTGGGACCGATTTTTAAAGTTTTTTCGACCAGGTCAAAACTTTACCCCACTAAATATCCACAATCATGTCTTCAAGCAACCACAACACTGTGTCAAGCCAGGCTGTGAGTGAAAGCACTCCTGCCATCCCATTGATGATGCCAGGCATGGGGACGACCTTTGCCCCGATCACCACTGTAGGATCAGTTGGCATGATCCCAATCATGTCAACCCCTACTCCTACTCCAACGACAACAATATTCCCAGGCTCGATAACAACGCCTGGTGGAGCATTCGCACCATACCCGTTAGCTTGGGCACAATTTGCTGCTGACCCGGCAAATGCTCAGGCTCTACAGGGCTATCAACAGGTGATGGCTATGATACAACAGACAGGGGGCTTCATGCCATTTGCCTATCCTGGCATGAAGCCACCAATTATGCCACCCCCGGTGTCGACTCCATCAACAGTCGTTCCAAGGATGGTCCCTGTGCGCTCGGTGAATTTGACAAGGATCATGAACGAGGCAGCGCCCTCAAATGTTCACGAGGTGGACGAGGCGGAGCAAGAGGTGGCCCGCAGAAGGAAGGGTAAGGCTATAGTCAAGCCTAGCAAAACTTGAGATTCGGCGTTCAAACGCCTAGGGGACAAAGAGGATGGACCCCGCAAGTCTGCCAAGCTACGTCTTGGTCCTGAGATGGGCCAGACTAGCGCAATGGAAAGGCTTGGTGGGAGTCGTTCCGCCCCATCTCGTCGTTCTAGGGAATCTGAGACGATTCACCTAGACGAGGAGGAAGTTGAAAGTCAGTCCAGGGCATCGGCGTATACCAGGCTCTCATATGATGAGGATGACCTGGACAAGATAGGGAGCGTAGCAAGAAAGCTACGTGCCCTGGAGGAAAAGGTGGAAGAGAAGGCAGGAGCAAAGAAGCACACCCTGGCAAAATCACCCTTTTCGGCCAGGGTACATGCACAAAAATTGAGGCGGAAGGTCAAGCTGGGCGTGGAGAAATTCACTGGAAAGGAGGATCCAAATGTCCACCTTGACACCTTCCACAATGCAGCACAGATGGCCGGGTGCACTGATGCTGAGGAGTGCTTGCTCTTCTTCTCATCCTTGAGAGGGAGGCCTGTGGAATGGTTTAACGGCCTTCCCCAGGGCAGGATTGGGTCCTTTGAGAAATTTGCCGAAGTTTTCCGCAAGAAGTACCAGGATAACTGCATCAAGAGGAAGAAGTTTACCTACCTTAACACGGTAGGGCAGAGGGAGAAGGAGTCCTTGACTCAATTCTTAACCCGCTGGAGGGACGAGGTTGACAAGGTAGAAGAGATGGATGATAAGACGGCCATGTCTTTACTGATGAATGCCTTCCGGTCGGGTGACCTCTACACTGAATTCTGTAGAAGACCACCCTCCTCTTATCAGGAAGCCTATAACACGACATGGGAATACGCCGAGGCGGAGGTCCTGAACAAGAGCAAGCGGGAGCTAGAGGAAGGCCATACAAAGGTGAAATCTGACAAGCCGAAGAAGGATGACCAGACGGGAGGGTCCAAGCCAAAGGCCACATATGACGGGTCCATCCACCAAATAAGGGATGAGAAGAAAGGAGAACAACACAAGCGGCCTTGGACAGAGAAGTGGTGCACCTACCACCAATCCGACTCTCACAACACGACAGATTGCCGGAATGTGAGGGTCGTGCTCAGGGAGATGATCTTGAAAGGGGAATTGGGTGAAATATTCGTTACGGGGCTTGAGGAAGACCCATAGGCGAGTACTTGAATCCACCCACATGAATATGATCAGGGAAAGAAGAGAGGGTGGATAAGATGTGGTCAAGATTGCTAAGCTTGCTGTAGACGGATCAGTCTTGATGTCTAGGACTTGGTCCGTTGCATGGGCTGATAGCAAAAACAAAAAAAAACAAAAAAAAAGAAACCCTTGAGATAGGGGCCTTGATGTTGAGGTATCGCCTTGAGACAGGCTGGATCCGGAAGAGGATTCGCATCCATACTTACATGGATCCCTACCGACTTTTTGGTCGGGAAGGGTTAGAAAAGATGCCAAAAAAAATATTACCGTCTTGTATGAGCCATCCTTTGTGGATCGGAATGTCTAGGGAAGGCTAGAATTTCCGAACACATAATATATGGACGTGCAGGATTGGATGAGGGCTGGTTCTCACCGGCATACCCCCATGTGGGAAGATTAGGTTGGCTAGGTCAACCTAATAATTAGAGAATGGCACATTAAAAGACTTAAAACCTGGAAGAGGGGCCCTGGAAGAAGGGTGTTACCTGGAAGAGGGCTGAACCTTGGAGAGGGTTCGCGACCATAGGACATGGTCAAAATCTCCAAAGAAAAGGTCGGGTCTTGATGTCGAGACTTAAGACGAAAGCCGTTCCGGAACATTCGATCGAAGTTTGATCAAGGTTGGGGTAAAACACGACAGACAGGCTAGATGGATATAAAAAGAGGGCATGGTCAAAAGTGACCGGTCACTTCTTGATGTTCTGGAATGACCAGAAATGGCGAATGGAAAAATCTAAAATTTGACCGGTCAACTTTGAGAAAAGTGACCGGTCACTTTTTTAGTTGGCGGATTTGATGATATCAGATAAGTCTGGGAAAATATTTTTTGGCCGGTCACATTTTTGACCCGGCACCTCGACAGAAAATTTGACGTCATGCTGGTTACGTAGTGCAACCAAGCCATTGGAAGTTGATCGGGACGAATTTAACCTAGACGTTTATTGTTCGACCTGACAAGCTAGAAACAAAGTGACCTGGACGTTTTCAACTCTGGAGACCGGGACATAAGATGACCTGGAAGTATTCAAGCCTCGCATCTAAAATGCCCTTCAAAACTTTCAACCTAGCCTATTAAACCAGGACATGAGATGACCTGGAAACTTATTTTATTTCAACATGGACGTGACCTGGACGTTTTCAAGAGTTCAAGACTGGGATGCTTTCAACAAAGCCTACCAGACCTAGACACTTTCAAAATGTTACCTAACCAGGCCCAGGCCGGTTACTTCTATTGACTTGGAAGCAAGCATGTTCTAGGAAATTGTCAACCAAGCCAATTAGACCTGGACATTCTTCAAATGATTCTTAAAGTTTTAGACCGGTTACTTTTGTTGACATGGCAGTTCAGTCAAATGTGTTCATTATGAGGGAAGTCTAACCAGTCAACTTCAAAGGGGGACCAGGCAAGAAAATAACCATGCAAGAAACTTAACCATTCAAGAAGTTCAACCAGGCACAAAGGAATGCGACCGGACCATGAAAGCCTCCTTAATTGGTGACCATTC